TATTATTGTGAACAAAATATTTTCATATAAAGAATTAGTGAATTTCGTTAACAATTAATTGTCATTCTTTTCAGAAGTTTTAATATATAAAAACGTCTTAGGACTCCCCGACAGATTAACCTTCTCATCCCCAATTAGATCGTAAGAATCTTTTCATTGTAAAATTATAAAACTTTGTAACAAACTCGTGCATCATTATCTATTTTATTTTTTTAGGAAATAAAGAGTTTCTGCATTATCGATTTTGATTTGAGGGTTATTCCGTTGTCTATCTGTTCATGATCAGAATCTTGTTCCTATCCAACAACAATATTCTATTCTCTTTGCCTACAGTCCCTTTAATCTAACAAAATAAAGATGATTATGCAAATAAAAGATTATACCTTCTCATCGCAGTCAAACAGATCATCCGGACAAATGTTTTTGTCTATCCTCAGAATATTCTCTACAGTAACTGGAGGTTGTCTTCTTCGCACTATCAAGCAATATAAATGGTAAATAACATTGTTCAGTGACTCATGTTATCATCTATTAAAGAAATAGGGACTCTTAAATAATTAGCTCAATCATTCCTCTTAATGGAAGGGTTTCAGCATTTTTGTTAAATAAACTTACTAAACATAAAATCAGTTTGTCTGGAACATCATCATTAACAGGAGTAATCTCATTGGTTACAGTTATCAGGTTGCCATGATGGTTTACAATTCTCTCATTCTTAAATTTGTTCAAAAAGCTTAATCATATTTTTTATCAACAATTTTTTTTTTCATATTTAATATTTGATATCTAAATCTAATATGTGATGTTTAATATTTGAAGGCTCTGTTAAAAATATGCTTGCACTACATACACTCAAAGCATCCATCTTTTAAGATGGCACATTGCCACAAATACATTATTTTCAGTTCAGGAGGGAGATTCTTAAACTCTTATTTAAAGCAAACAAAAGAAATTAAACACTGGACTAATACTGGTTTTTACAATCCTTGTCTACAGAATCCACTTGGTTAGAATTTGAGGCAGATCCAGAATCAGGAGATCTTAAGATCGTTCATTAGTTGTTAGGTACTTTAATAAGGCCATTTCCAAAGCAGCAACTTCCCAAGGGTATTTTCCCAAGTTCTTCCAGAATGTGTAATTTCATAAGCAGCAATTTCTAAGTCTGCCTTAGTCACAGCACTTGGCCCTATTGCAGCCTGTGGCTCCTCAAAAGGACTAACTTAATCTTTTAGAAGTTGCTGCTTGGGAAATTGCACATTTAGAAAGTTGCCACTTGGGAAATTGTTCCTTGGAAAATGCCTTTATTCAGCTTTGTTGTTGAAAGTGTAGAACCCAAAGATTGTTAGTAAGTAGGTTTATCTTTTTTCCAAAATTAAGAGTAAAAATTGAGTATTAAACGAAATTTCATTTTTTCCTTCGGAATTTGACTTGCTGCACATTGCAAGCATTAGCTGGGACAAATTGAAATTTTAATGAAAGAAGTTTCTAATTTTCTTACATTCTAAGGGAGTCAATGCTGATATTGATGAGAACCATGAAAAACGGTATGCAAAGACAAAATATGAGATAAATTTCAATCATCTTTATGTAGGAAGTAGGCGGAAGACTGTTGCTTACCTGAACAAATGTCACAATTTTTCCCCATATTTTAACATGTGCAATGGTTACGACACTAAATTGGGTGTATAACAAATATGGATATAATTACACCATCAAAAATATCAACACCCAATATTTCCTTCCGCATTCTTGATTTCTCTCTTCTTGATATGAAAAAATTCTTAGTAAGTTACTTGATTTGTCTTAGTTGCAATTTCATAAAATACCCAAGGTGTAAACAAATTTTAGAAGCTAGGCTGAAAATGTTTCTCAAACTATCCACAAAGAACATAAAACTAATACTCTTTTCAGCCCCCCTGCCATGGAACCCCATTTGAGGTTTCAATACAAATTGTGGATAACTTACGCTCACAAACAATGTAACCAAGACCAGTAGAGTTGTAAGATTCACTGTAACAGTTGCTTCAAAGAAGAAGGGTTTAAAGAATACAGTGGCATAGCTGATGATTATTAGAAGTATTGATGGTAGGTATGTGTTCAATGCAATTGGCAGCAGGTTTCGTCCCAGAATCACATTCACCTTAGATGCAGCACTCAATTTAAATTAAATTAAATGGTCAATAACATCTGTTTTTGTTGTTGAAAATTTATTAAGAAGCTTAACCCTATTCCTAATGACGTCTAAAAATACCCTGGCAAAAATCTGCTTCCTTTTTTCACAAACAGACTTTCCGAAGAGCTATCTAATAATACTATTATCAATACTTGGAAGTGGAACTAAATATAGATTTAGTCTGTACACTGTCAGTATGACTTTACTAAAATTATCCAAAATACTAAGTTAAATTAGAATAAAGTCAAGTTTTTTTTCTTAAAATTAGATCAAGTAGAAATATACCTACATCAATTAAGACAATTCTTAAAATAAACAGAAATGTGAGAAGTGTCAGCAGAGTATGAAAGTTGACACAGTCAAGAAACCAAATTCCAGCCAAATATTATAAAAGTAGAAGATGTTTTGTAAATTATGAAATTAAATCAATAGAAATGAATATTTTTTGTTTAAATATGGGGTTATTTATCAAGAAAAAGTATTTTCACTAAAACTCAATACTCAAAGTTATAATAAAAAGTCATAAGCAGATTTTACAAAGCTGAATATACATTCACTCTGCTGTAACTAAATAAAAATGAAAAATCAGGGGAGTTCTTATAAAATGTACACTGATTCCCTAAAGAATCTTAGTTATTGATCTTGGTTAGAATCTTCTTGAAGAGAATTGAATTCTGCTTGCCAAGTAGTTCTTATTGAAGTGATTGCGGATTAATGGTGCAAAAGCTTATTGCGGTAATTAATGTAAACAGGTTTCTGCTTGCTTTGATTTTCGGTAATAAATGTATGTTGTATTCAGTTAAATGTAAATAGAATTCAGTGTACAGTCAGCCAATTTACACCTAGCAGTGTAATATTTGATATTTTACAACAGATGCTTATGGTCTGGTGCATGACGTAAATACTATAGATTGTAAGCGGGGATTTCCAACAGTGCATAGTGCAGGTAAAATAAGGCATTAAGGCAGTAATATATTTGAGGAGCAATGAGGCAGTAGATATGCATAGCCTAGCTTTTAGCCAGAAATGAGAGGCATGTGGGATTAAGTCAGAACAAAATTAACAGCCTCAAATTAATACTTTTTGAGTTGTGAGGGGGGGGGGGCCTTAAAATTTCTTTAGACACAGACTGTAGTTCGAGCTTTTAGTTTTTTAAGTGCCAATTTTAACAGAGTGATACATTTCCTTCAGAGTTGTTTTCTCATCAGTTTCAGATACCCTCATAAAGAAGCTCTCAACAATAAACTCTTTAGAAGATCTTTCCCCAAAGAAATTCAGAAGTTTAGGTTCTAAAACAAAAAGATAAAATTTCTAAATCTATCTTTGGACCAAGGTAACCTCCGAAATTAGTATAACAGTATGCAGTATAACTTAGCAATGGCAATTTAAAAGCAATGGAAATATGTATAATGATCAATAAGCAATGAAGCATATTTGTAGTAATGTTCTGTAACTGCAGAGATTGAAAATACTACCTAATGCAGAAAAATCCCCAGATTCACCAAACATTGATAATCGGAGTTGACAGATTTGAATATCAAAAGGATACCAACGTAGATCATATTTGCACAGAAATCTGAATATACAAAGCACTAGTAGCATAATGAAATATGAATGAAGGTTGAAGTTGATTCTATCAATTGAATAAGATCTCTAATGGTTTGAATGTCTAAATGTTACTGGAAGAAGACATAATACCCTTTGAATTAAAAGCATGATTAAGCTAAACTTTACAAAAAATGTATGTAGATACCGAATATTGTAGAACCGAGACAGGTTGATAAGATTTTCTGCTCCTTGGTAATTTTTTCTATTGTTGTGTTCATCCAGTCCCGAGAGGTAATATTTTCCCTCTTTTCTGATTGTAATAGTAGCTTTATCATCCACCAGAGTGGTCACCTTATTCTCAGTATTATCAAATACAAGAACCGGAATCCAAAGAAGTTCTTTTTCTTGGGGTGATAAGCTGTTTAGTGCAGGATTATCACGCAGATCAAAAAATGTCAATCTGCTATCAAGCCAAGAGAAATGAAGATAGAACTGAATCTAAATTGTTTAAAACTCATGAAACCCTATTTACAACGTTATTCATATGAAAATGGTAGTTTTTACCTGGAATATTGAAGCTTTCTCATCAATATCTAAGATATCCACTATGTCAGCAGACACCTCAATTTTGATTTTTGAAGAGTTCTGAGTTGATGGTGGTAGAGGGGCAATATGCTTCTGGTAGGATTTATCAGGACTAATACGGAAACAACCAACCTCATCGCTTTTATCCTTACAGTCTGTGCGACTGTTACACCTTTTCTCTATATCTATGCATAGCCCATTACTGCAAGCAAACTCTGTATCTTTGCAGGTAGATAAGGTCAATAATACTGACTCAAGTTCTTTACAGTTTTTATCATTTCTAAAAACACTTCATTAGTTTCAGGACACATAATATGTTTTTTTTCCAACTTTTGAACAAAATTAAGACACTTTTGAAAGCAATCTAATTAATTGTGAATTGTAAAGAAGTTGCAAGTTTAACACTCCGAAAACATGAATCAGATTTGATTTCTGAACTCAAATATATGTGTTTCAGTACTGAATAGACTTTACAGTTTATAGAACCTGAAAAAGGTAGATTTTGATGTAAATTAGATTATTACATTTTGCTAAGAAGTGCAAAAGTCTCTATAAAATTTGTTTAAAAGTTGAAAAATTACATAACTCTTCATTCATGTGAGGCAACAAGGATGCAATACACATTGGAAGGAATATTACATTGCCTTGGCTTCCCTCGACCTTATTGAGTTCCAAAGCATCCCTCGCTACACTCATGATGCTCAATGACCCATAAAGGTCTTGGGAAGCCTCGGCAATGTAATATTCCCTCCCTATAATGAAGAGATAGTTATACCTTATTTTCCAGTTATGGGTACCCATGATGTAGGTTTCTAGACCTGCAGTAGATGTACCAATGAGATAAGGATCATTTACATTTCGCAATTTCCACAATCTCTCCTAAACAAATGTTAATTCAAGTTGAGATTTCATAAGTGTTTTAATCTCAGAAATCATTTTCTTTTGTGAAAAGAAAGATAAAAAAATCTGTACACAGAAAGTACATGCTGCAACCACTGCATTATGGATTAAAGGGAAACTGGGCATGTGACTTTTTAGATATAGGGGACATTAAATATTTTGTCAACGTTCCCTGGACGAGAGTAATTTCAGTTTTTAAAAATTAGCAGAATTTAGCATGCTGTTAATATCAAATGAAATATGAAAAGTGTTCTTTCCAAGCAGGCCCGTAACTAGGGGTGGGGGGGGGCAGCTTATTTTATTTGCTTTTCGCCTGACTCTTCTTGAGACAAATGAAACATGCTTAAAATATTTTTATTAATTATTTGATTAGATTATTGTATGAATATATGATATCATTGTATATAATGAATTGCTAAAGGAAAAAGATTCTTAGTGTTAATACTCTTTTTAAAAAGAATTGGGGCAATAAACTTTTTTTGTCTCTTTTTTGTATACCTACATTTTTTGCTTAATGTTAATGATTTAATAGCAATAGAAGAACAGAGTTGAGATTTAAGTGAGAATTTAATAAACAATGAAAGTAGTTTAACTAGATCTGCCTAGTGAACTTCTCTATTGTCAACTAGAGAAGTGGTTCAACTTATCATACAAAGTTAAACTGCTTCCTGGTATTTATTAATTCCTTGCTCAGAACTGAAATCTTGAAATTATACTTTTTAATTAATAAAAAAAGTTTTTACCTATACATCTGAAATTGTAAGAAATTAAACATTGATTTTAAAATTTTTCCTTCAGCTAAAAAGCTAATCTTCATCTTCAAATTGATGTTTTTATTTATTAGTTTTTAAAGTGATATTTATTCATGTATTCACAAATGTGAGTTAATGTATAATTTAAATGTTAACAAATAGTTTTCTGTTATAATTGTGTCAAAAAAATTTCATCTAAAGCGCACTATTTGACAAAAATGTACACCCCTCTTTCCAAAATCCTTGTTTCAATACAAGTGCCATTTTTGGGAAACCCATATTTAAACTAAGTAAAATATATTCGAGTAAAGTTTTTAAACTATAAACTGCCAAAAGTCTTTAATATCATTCAAAACTATTTACCAAGTTTCATGTTTCGTGGGACACCATGTATCTAAAGACTTTTGAGAATTTAAGACACAATGGAACAATAAAAGTCTCTAACAACGTCTTTAACGGGAATTATTGTGAATGACTAAATTAGAGGGAGACATTTTTTTGTCAAAAATATAAAAAATTACATCTTAAGAAGTTTTGATATTTCTTTTTAAAAAGAATTGGGGCAATAAACTTTTTTTGTCTCTTTTTTGTATACCTACATTTTTTGCTTAATGTTAATGATTTAATAGCAATAGAATCTGCAGAGAGTTGAGATTTAAGTGAGAATTTAATAAACAATGAAAGTAGTTTAACTAGATCTGCCTAGTGAACTTCTCTATTGTCAACTAGAGAAGTGGTTCAACTTATCATACAAAGTTAAACTGCTTCCTGGTATTTATTAATTCCTTGCTCAGAACTTAAATCTTGAAATTATACTTTTTAATTAATAAAAAAAGTTTTTACCTATACATCTGAAATTGTAAGAAATTAAACATTGATTTAAAATTTTTGTCCTTTAGCTAAAAAATTAATCTTCATCATTGATGTTTTTATTTATAAGTTTTAAAGTGATATATATTCAGGTATTCACAATTGTCAGTTAATGTATAATTTAAATGTTAACAAATAGTTTTTCTGTTATAATTGTGTCAAAAAAAATTTCACCTAAAGCGCACTATTTGACAAAAATGTACACCCCCCTTTCCAAAATCCTAGTTACAGGCCTGTTTCAATACAAGTGCCATTTTTGGGAAACCCATATTTAAACTACAGGGTGTCCCACGAAACATAACATTTGGTGAATAGTTTAAAACGGCTTCTTCCATAATATGTCAAGTTGTTTGTTACCAAAGAGAATAATAATAAATATTTTATGGCATCCCTATTATAGTAAAATTGATTTCTAAGTAAAATATATTCGAGTAAAGTTTTTTAAACTATAAACTGCAAAAAGTCTTTAATATCTAATGCAGTATTGGAAGAGGACATTCAAAACTATTCACCAAGTGTCATGTTTTGTGGGACACCATGTATCTAAAGACTTTTGAGAATTTAAGACACAATGGAACAATAAAAGTCTCTAACAACGTCTTTAACGGGAATTATTGTGAATGACTAAATTAGAGGGAGACATTTTTTTGTCAAAAATATAAAAAATTACATCTTAAGAAGTTTTGATATCATTAGTTTGATTTGTTAGTTTGTAGAATAGAAAATACCTCCAGATCGTATTGTATGATGGTTGCTTTCTGCCCAATGTATGAAATATACCCAGTATCAGCATCATTTATAACCTAAAAGGGAAAATTTATTTTTGATATTTTATGACACTTTATTTATTATATACCCCAACACCATTAGAGAGGGCCCTGCGCAGAGCATTCATGTTGATATGAGCACAAATTCAAAAAATGTAATAGTTTTTGAGAAATACTTAAATTTGAGCTTTTATTGTATTTCATTATTTACTATTTCAAAAAATCAATAATGTTTTGTGAATTAGTGCTCATATATAGTTAGATTCGTGAAATGAGATATCAATTTTTCTTTCTTTATATAAAGCTGCAATAATTATACAAAAGTTTAGGAATTTGTTATATTTAGAAAAACAAAAATAAAAGTCTTAGTCTCAATAAAAGTAGACTTTTTAATACAAATTGTTTATGTACCATAATAAAAACATTATGGTCAGGGTGATATTTTTAAAAGATTTGTTGTATGTAAAAGCCAAATATTTGTTATTTGATGTTGGATTGCTAGACGTAGAGTCAGAGTTAGTGAGCCTGGCAGACGTAGCATGAGACACGGAGACAATTTTGATTGGCTAGGAGGCCATTCTGAGGATCAGGAGGCTTCTGAGGTCAGTCTGCTTTGCTCATGGATGCTCTGCACTATTGAACTTAGGCTTTTGAAGTTTTCAAAGTAGACTGGGGTTTGAAAAGCCTTAGCTTTATAGAACATGCTTTGCCTTTGTATATTTTGATTCTAAGACTTACTTCCCATGGGATTTCAACGTTGTTTTTTGGCTTTTTTGGAAATTGAAAACCAATGCCAAGAGGAATTAGGTTTTACCATTTCTTTAAAACAATGTGCTCCTAAAAAGTGAATTTGCACATTTTTTAAAATAAGTCTTGATTATGTACATTTTTGCAAAACTTCAAAGCAACATTAATACAAATTAGAAACTTCTCTAAAAAATAACTCATTGGGAGCCAAGACAAGGTTTATTGTGTATAGTGGCGCAGCATATTTCGCCCAGAAAATAAGAATAAAGGGAAGGGAAATGGCGCTGGTCTGGCATGAGAAAGCCAGAAAGCTTTGCAGACGAGTTCTTAATTACACATGCACACTCTTTTGGTAAAGACACACAACAAATGACTACTGTCAAGGAAATTGCAGAACATTGTTGTAAATTATAATTAAGCTTGAATAATGAGTAGTTTATTGTAAACTTTAATAAAATTTCTTTGCATGAAAATTTGATCTCATACCATCTTTTATCAATTTTCCCAATTAAGAAATAAATACCAAAACTTTTCTTTGGTGCTTCGTGCATAATAACTGATAGAATTTTTAACTATTTTCTCGGCTTTGACTAAAAGAAAGTCAGTCATTGTTCAGAATTATAGAAGCCGCTGAAGATGGTCAACTAAACCTGCACCTGCAGCTGAATGACCCCCCTTCCTCGGAGAAATGACCAGCCAGGTTGGAAAGGGAAGAAAGGTGGGGTGACAGGATATAAAAGGAGACCTATCAAAGAATAAGTTCAGTTGTGATGAAAGCCTTTTAGAAAGAGGAACCAAGGAAAGGAGGGGTTAGGAGGGTAACCATGTGGGGCCTGAGTTTGAAAAATGTGAGTCCAGAGGGTCAGAGGCCAGAAGCCCAGAGTCACAGAAGAGTCCAGCTGAGAGACCAGATTCAAGAGTCCGAGTCTTCAAGTCTGAGAGTCCCATATCCAGTCCTCAATCCTCTTTAAGTAGAATTGTATCTTATGTTTACCTTTAATTTTGTGTTAATGCAATATAATCTTAACATATACAGCTTTTGTTCGTTTAATTGTCGCAGAGATTGAAACACACTGACCTCTTTTTACCTTTAGAGTAGCACAAATATTAAAAAGTAATGGACTTTTCTTGCTGAATCCCCTTTTTCTAGAACAAGGAACAATACAAATTGTAAATATTTTAATGTTTTACAAATATCCAGTGTAAACAAACAGATGGAACAGTTCTCAATCAAAAACACAAAGAACGCAACAGGGATGGAATGAATGGAAAAAGAACAACAAACGATCTAGCTGAAGGCCAGTTCTAGAATAAAGAACGAACGATACAAAAAATTATGAATACACCTACCTCGGAGCCCCCTCTTCAATTGGTATTCAGAGCGGAGGAAAGGTTAGTATAGGGCAGGGTAAAGAGGAATACATGTACCTGGTACGTTGTATCAATCTTTGTCTGCAAGCAAAGCCCTTTTAGAGTAATCAGCACTGATGACTCAAATGTGTAAGGTATCTTACAAGCAGTGCAAGCAGCCCAAGAGAGGTCTGGATTTTCACACACAAAATCATACCTTGAGATTAAAAGTCTTATGAAATATTTTAAATTTGGATAAAAAATTAATTAATTTATAAATGTAAACCAAATTGCGTACCAGCTTTGGTCATACTCCAAACCTAAAATATAAGGCGAGTTTTTAATATGATCAAAAAAAAATTCTAGGGTTTGAATGCAAGCGTTTCCATTGATATCCCAGAAAAAAAATTCCATTTTGGAAATGGAATGATTTGGAAAGAAACTGAGTTTAAGCCACAAATTCTGATTTTCAAATCGCTATATCTTTGCAACCTCACGGTGTTAGCCTTTGATATTTCAAACTATTATTATTTGAACTAAAATGATTCACAGATTGAAATATCTAAGGTCTCTGACATTGATATGCAAAGGTATAGGGATAAGAAAATCAGAGTTTGTGACAAAAACTCAACTCCTTTGTTCCGTTAAGTGGAATTCTGGGATAATTCCAAATCAAATGGAAACCAGAATGTTTAAAGCTTACATTACGTAATACATATAACTCAAAATTTTTCTGGTTTATGGAATGGAAACTGGAAAAATTCCAGTTTTGATTTCTTCAACCAGAAAATTTCCAATTTACATTAAAAAATTCATGGTTACATTTCGTAAACAGGAAAAATTTAAACTGAATAAAATCCAGTTTCCATCTTGTAAACAAGAAAAGTTTTTTTTTGATTAAATTCATATTTACAAAGTCTGCTACTTCTAGTCTTCTACAGTTCATCAAGATTTAAGGATACTCGACACTTTAGGTTTCCCTTTCAACTTAACAATTCAATAAACCTTCCCTTTAAGAGGTTTCTAATGTTATTCCGGTACCTATTCTCAGAACTTTCTGAAATGATATTCGGGAACATTATTCTGGAAATTTCTGGAACAAAATTCCAAAACATTCTGGAAGATTCTGGAAATTTCTGGTTTATGGGTAAAAAATCGTTCTTTAATTGATCTAAAATTCTGGAATTCCAGAACCTTTTTCATAGTGGAAATAGAAAAAAATTACGAATCATTTACATACTTAAACCATTACCAGGAATTTCGGTGGATACTCTAGATTTTTTAAATATTTGATAAAAAGCGTTGCTGTAAAGGTTAGATTAATTTTTGTCTGCTCATTGAAAAATTATTGAATAAGTTAAATGATAAAGCGTAATTACTTAAATAAGATTTTACACATTGAGGTGAGTTTCCATTAGGTTGATCAAGTCTCCATGGAGCAATTGTCAATGGCTCTTTAGTGTGGATATGTGTGAAGTCTTCATGTCTCTGTGTCTGGAATCATATCAGATAGTGTATAAATGTATAGATAAGATAAATGTTAAGTCCATGATGTCAGTGCACCCATTTTTCTTCCTTTCAGCAAATGATGTCACAAAATGGATTTGCAGCAGCATGCTCACCATAGTGCTTCCTTTCTGCACCTGCTTTGTCATGGACTGCAACACTAGCAACCACCCCCCATTGAAAGAGGGGGGAAGTCCAGAGTTCCTCAACAAGTAATCACCGCCACCCAAATGTGTTTTGTGGCAAGCACGCTCCTCAATTGGTAATCTCCACCACCTCAATTAGTATTAGATTTGAATTTAATGCACTTTCAACACAATTTTCGACATCTATTGGGGTTTTATGGCATCTGTATTGACTTAAACTAAATTTTTAAATTATTTTCAGATTTGTTTGGTCAACAAAAACTGAGAATCAAGGCACAGTTCATTTTGGGAGTCCAGAGTTCCTCAAATAGTAATCACCGCCACCCAAATCTGTTTTGCGGCAAGCGCACTCCTCAATTGGTAATCTCCACCACCTCAATTAGTAATCACCGTAAAATTTTGTTTTCTGAGATTTGAATTTAATGTACTTTTAACACAATTTTCGACATCTATCAGGGTTTTATGGCATCTGTATTGACTTGTGTGTATTTCGCTCATATTCTAGCAAATAGTGTTTATATTTTGTGCACATGTGTAAATCCTATTCTACCAGAAGACAAAGATCATGAAGATGAAACCAGATGATGATGATTAAGATGAAATTGGTGAAGATGAAGATAAAACGAATTTGTCAGAGAATGATTTCAATGACCTAGAGACTGAGAATGATTGTTCCCACAATGAACCGGAAATAGTTGAATCTAAGGAATCACCCATATCCTGTTAATCACCTGCCCAGTAATAATTGACCAATCATATGTCAATTAAGCTGATCTCACCCCTCTCCTGACTGCTATTTACTATGTATAATTACTGTATGGTGAAATATGTCCCCCTTTCTGAGCAATTATAAAGTACCTGTTTTTTGCATGGCACCAATCAAATTTCATGCAAAGCAATTATGCCAATTAAGCCCATAATTATCCCAATTAAAAAGTACCTAGTTCTTTCTTTTCACCAATCAGATTTCATGCAAAGCAATTATGTCAATTATCCCTTACTCCCCTAGGACTATATAAAGGGTTCCCTGACCCCCCCTAGTCCAGTCAGTAGTGAGAAATGTTTTGTAAAAGTGACTCCCCCTAGAGCAGTTGGTAACAAAATCTTTGCACCCTCACTGCGTAGAGCTGCATGTGATTCTCCCCATTCAGGTCTTGAAGTTTTCTTTATTACTTTTCGCTTTTGCTCCCCTTTTCTATTTCCAAGTTTAGCTTAGTTTTTTTGATTGGTACTTTTTACTCGGGAAGATTCATAATCATGTATTTTTCTTGTACTTAGTTTTTAAGGATTTGTATTGTTTCAGGTTCAAAGAAAAATAAAATATCCTCTTTTCTTTTAGTATGTTTATTTGAGACCAAAACTTTGAGTTTAAGTTTATTTCAAGTAAAGTAGAGAGTCACACAGTAGTCATTAAATAAATGAGAAGGATAGTTGAGCTGTTTTGTTTTTGAATATATGTGCTAAAATAAAAGTTTTGTCATTCTCTTGTAGAATTAAACTAAATTTTCAAATTATTTTCAGATATGTTTGGTCAACAAAAACTGAGAATCAAGGCACAGTTCATTTTAGTCAAATCTTAGATCCAATTCGCCCATTTAATGATTGCATTTCATGATTGGCGTTAAGATACTAAAAGGTCGGGCTGCCTGTTTACTAAAAATTATCTCGTCCCACGCAAAGTAATATCCATCTCCATTTAAAAGATATTTTAAAAAAACCTTTACAGTGTTTAGATTTTTGTATTGGCCTACTCGAGTTCAACATCAGCGACAAAACTAATGATATGCATAAAAAGAACATAAAATTTTGAAAAATTAGTCTCATCCCATGCCCTACTGAAAATGAAGTATTTAGTCCACTAATAATGGGTTAAAGTTTCCTCTCTATATAAGGAGTTTAAAACAATAACATTCAGAGGAAAATGCCGCAAACATTCTTAAAGCGAAACTTGAAACTAAAAAACCGTAATATATTTCTAGTGCTTAGTGTGTTGTATTTATAGATTTATTTTCGAAACTAAGGAGCAATAAAGAAAGTTTTAACAATATTGTACACCATAGGGCCATTAACAGAGGTCTATATGGTCTTATTTCTAAGAAATAACCGATTTAATGTTAAGCTTATTTTGGCTGATTACCAATTGAGGTGGTGGAGATTACCAATTGAGGAGACCTCCTTGCCGCAAAACACATTTGGGTGGCGGTGATTACTCGTTGAGGAATTCTGGACTCCCCCCTCATTGAAAGGACATTTATATGAGGTCATCAGTTATGAACGTGACATCCATGCAACATCATCTTGTAGGTGTTGAAGACGCTGATGACCAGTAAAACACACTGCTTTTTACGTCCTAATGACCTTCCTTTTGACGTCAAAATGACGCCTCTTTGATCATTGAAATGACCAAACTTTTGATGTTCAAATGACCAAACTAATGTCATTAATATGAGCCCACTAACTTAAGTTATTTTAACTAGGGGAGATGTAGTCTATTCATTGATCTACTGTCATTCACTAATCAACCAATCCATTATTCATATAAATACATATAACATCATTCATATTTCTAGCCTTATCTCTAAAGTTGTCACCATTCGCTAACGGTATTAAATGATAGTGTAAAACTTATTATCAGAAATTTCCCTTCCAATTTATCCTGTCAAATTTTCTTTTTCTTTTTGGTTCTTGTTTCTAAGTTTTTAGGCCTTATATTGATATCCTTTCGATGACTGGTTTCAAACTACTCTCTCTATATAAACTGTTTTTCTTCTTTGATTCTTAATTCAGATGGTGGTACTTGGTAGATTTTCTTACAGTTTAACAAAAGATGAAAGGGGAGAAGAGAGTTTGGTTTAACTGAAATAGATTAAAGTAGTATAGCAACAATATAACTTGTTTAGAACAATTTTTTATAACGATTTCATATAATTACTTACATGAGTGTCATCTATTAAGAAAAGAAATCAAAGAATGTCTACATCAGTGTCCTTGGTTGGTTTAGGCCTTACTGAAGCTATACTCAGGATCCAGGCATATACATGCGTGCATGTGTGCACAACAATTGAAAATGTACATATTCTATATAGTAAAAAATGGGAATAGATCAAATGCCTAATTTCAAAACAGGCCTCTCCAAATAGTTCTTATATCATCGAGTTTTGGAGGAAGTAGGAGAGAGATAAGGAGGTTTGGAGGAGGAAGGTATAAGTATGGTTTGCTGCAAACAAAAAATTTGCAAAAAAATGCAAAAAATTTTGTTTACAAATTGCAAACCTATTTTGCAGAATTTCACATTTTTTTTCAAAAATTAATGAAGCAAAAAAATTCAAAAATGAAAGCAAAATAAAAAATTTAGCATTTTTTGCAAGCAAGCAAAATGCATAAAAAAAATTTTCCACAAAAATGCTAAATTTTCAGGAAACAATTTTTCCTTTTTGCTGCAAACCCTATGTATGAGGGATTTCAGTAGAAGCTTATCAACTTAGTGGAATTTTAAGGAAACCCATAACTTAGCTGCTTTTTTCAAAATGGGGAGTTGAAAGCCTTAAAAAGCCCCATGAGGTGGAATCTTCCTCAGCAGTTCAGTCCTCACAGTTGAGCTGAGTAAAAAAAAACCGGTATCATTGTGCATGGCTAATATACCTATCAGGGGTTATACTACAGTCTTCCCTCTCCAGCTGAGATGTTGCACCAAAATAAGCTGAAATGGAGATAATGTTTACAATTTAAATACTGTGTTTCGCCACTCCCCTGTAAGATAAGTCATGAACAACTCTACGAAGCACTATTTCAAACTGTGGAGCCAGGAGCTGCTAAAACAGATCCTCTCCACGCCAAAAGCAGAAAGCAATTGGTAATATTTAATTTTCAATAATTAATAGTAGCTTAAGAAACTTTAAAATTTGAAAACTGTTAAAACAAGTGACTTTAAATCTGTCAAGATATTTACATTATTGTATCTGCTGCATAAATTTGTAAGTCACAGTTAAAATTATTAATTTATTGATGAAATAGCAATTCTGTTGCTCGTCATTCCACGCAATTCTGTGCAATTCTGCGAATATTTAATTGTTTTCTTATTTGCAATTATAGCGCAATTCTTCACAGTGAAATAGTACAAGCAGAAGCAATCATTGTGCACAATTCTGCACAATTCTGTGCAATGGAATTCTGATTGTAAACCCTACTTGTTAGGTAACCCAACTTAGTCCGACCTAAGAGGACTGGTCATGTTCCAACGTTAGGTAAATTGACGTAACTTGACCAATCCTGAACTAACCAGATATGATGGGTAATCTGATGTAGCTTGACCAATCCCAACCTAAGGGGACTGGTTGCAAGATGTTGCTGGTTGATAGAGAATTCGAGAATGTTTGCAATTTCTTCCTAAACTGCAATATTTTTTACATACCTGCTAAATATTTGATGTCTTAGGCCTGATTTCTTTTGTCTTAAGACAGGTCCACTATGTGGGAACAAAAAGAATATATTTCAGTGGTACAGTGTACCCATGCCATCGTATTTATAATGTTAGGTACAAATTCCCAAGTGACAATTTCCTAACTGGCAACTTCCCAAATGTGCAATTTCCCAAACGGCAACATTCCAATGGTTAGGTTAGGTTTTCTGAGGCATCGCAGGCTGCAATGGGGCCCAGGGCTGGGGTTAGATTTCAAATTTTCAGCTAACAAAGTTTGTTAGAGCACCAGACTTGAATACACCTTAGCAGAATCTCTGCGCCGGATTACAATCCTGCGAATTCGTTTCTCTTAGTACAGCAATTTTTGATACATAAGCTTCATCTAAAATTGTCAGNAGTTTAGGAGGAAATTTCAAAAAAGACTAAATGGGCATGACAAGAGAGTGCTTCAGATGAGTCCTTTGCTGAACATCCATTAATTGTGACATTATTTGCTGTAAGGAAGAAAACGACTCTACAATAAATTAGATTTGTCTTAACAAAACTATTTTTCCTTGTTCTTGTCTGATGAATATGGCATCCAATGAAGAAGTCTACCCCCAGTCCAACACTCTGATCTGACTGCTGGGTTACGGGATCCTTGTAGTTGATACTCTTTAACCTCCTCCAGGGACTAAATAAAAAGACAAAACTTAGATCCTCCTTTGCAGGAGTGATCTGCAGTGGAATCTATGGTTTCAAATTTTTTTCTGATCAATTTAATGAAAGTCAACCGTACCATACAGAAAAAAAGAAATTGTTTGTGGATTTTTGTAAAAATGTTGCCGGATTGCATTTTTACTACTTTAACACTTTAATACTTTTATATCTCATTGTCTAGGCATTCAACTTATTATGTTATCTGGGCATTAATGAATCTAGGCATTGTGTTATCTAGGCAAAATATATATTATCTAGGCATTGTGATATCTAGGCATTATATTGTCTAGGCTTTATAAACTAGGCATTCAGAAATGTAGGCATAATGTTGTCTATAGGCATTCATGAACTTGGCATTCACCAACAAGATATTTACAAACTAAGCTTTCGTGAACCAGTCATAATGTTTATACTGAGCCAGTTTTATTCTTGATTTATTTATAAAAGGTTCTTTCCTTTCATGTCAACAGTTTTTAAAGAGTAAAAATTCTCTACAGCTTACAAAAGGTTCCTGATGCCCTTTCCAGATCTAAACTGATCTGGGAAATTAGGAAACTACAGTGTTATCTGCTAGTAACCTTAAAATTGTCCGCCATACTGTGCATCTTGTACTTGTTACAGGCTTCATAAGCATCAACAAAGTTTGGGTAAAGGGTTGTAACAAATACAGTTTTCCGTTTATTTCTTTCGGAGCATTCAATCTCAGATTTATTGATCAAGATTTCTTTTATCAGGCTTCCTAAAATATAACAAGAGTATGTGTGCCTGGGTTTAATTCATCAATATTATGTTTAAAACAACTATTACCTCACAATAAGATACAGGATAAGGTATCTTATAATGGGACTTTCAGAATAACTTAACTGTGTGTAGGCAATATATAATTAGTTTTTACCCTTTGATTTGCCTTAACTAAAAAGTGTAATCTCATATTGATTTTTGCAAATATTTTTGTACAATCTATAATAGTACAGGGTGTCCCAATAAACATGGGAATTAAATGACGAGTTCTATATCGTCTTTGTTTCAAGAGGGATTATTTCCTTAAAATAATTTTGTAGTATCACAGTTAAAACATTTAACACCAAAAACTGCTAGTCTCTGGAATTCCATAATGTGGTCTACCATTTTTTCGATTTCAAAATTGATATTAGGAAATTTGTCCAGATTACAGTGAATTAAAAATCAACAAAACTGTTCAAATGTTTAATATCTCCATCAATTTTAAATATACAAAGAAGGTAGACCACATTTTTGAAAGCTAATTAGGCATTTAACCTTTTTTGATGCACTTTATGTCATTAATCAATTATCCTAAATGAAAGAGTAAAGACGCTATTCAAGTCGTCTCTCAATTCCTATATTTATTGGGACACCCTGTATATACTCAATCTTTTATGTTTATTCAGAACCTGTAATATTCCAGACAGTTTCATTGTTCACGATATCCCCTACTGTTTGCTGTGGAATACAGTCCGAATAGTATGCTAGTTCTTCTTCACTGAAATTAGATCTATGATAGTTGGTTTCCAAATGTTTTGGTCTACTCAGAAAAATAAATTGGGGCTGGGCGAGTTCCTTTTTTAAAAATAGTTTGTTCCTTGTTCTACGCATTTGTTCTTTTTTGGAATGAAGGCATTGTTATTGATAACTCATTTGTTTTCCCTGATAGAACAATTTTATCCCAGGAACAACGCCCAGCCATTGATAATTTTGTTGTTAATCAAATTTCATGAACGATCATGATAAAGTCCATTTTTTCATTTGTTAATTTTATGAACAATTAATTTTGTTCATCATTTACTAATTTCTCTGATACACACCTAGTTTACAATTTGTATTTAAGTACCTATTAATTTCAACTACTGCAGTTACAGAGTAACATCAATGCATATGTACCTTAGTTTCTTATCCCATACATGAACATCTGCTATCTTTCCAATCAGAGGTTTATTATCAAAATAGTAGTGCCCTTAAAAATTGTCAATATTACTAATTCACTCAAACATACATTGCTCATTCAATTTTACTCTTGAAAGTGTTAAATTGTGATTGTTAACCAAGCATAGTTCACAGATAAATAGACATAGTGCAGTTAATGTCCCACAGGGAGATATGTTTCTAGCCTGTTAAGGCTGGCCGGTTATCTCTCCGGCTTCAAAGGGTATTGAACCCTTATCAAGTTTAGCTTTAGGCAAGGACCAGAGAAGGAAACGGATCATACGGCCAGGGGGGAAAGGAACAGGATCGGCCATATTGGATTCCCCATAGCCAATATTCATCAAGCATCGTACAGAAGCAAATCCATGGAATATACATTAGCCACTGGAGGCAAATGTTGTGTTGAATAAGATCTAATTGATCATTCGATCAACAGTTTGTATAGTTTAACCTGTAAAAATAGTATTGTGTGCTTGAATAAATATGCATTGAAAAATGCATTCTCTAGAATACTGCATTCTCAGCTCAACTACCATGTCTAGCCAGACACTCCCTTTCAAGGGCACCGTTGTAAATCATGTTAATCGGGAATTGCTCTCTTTGCATGGAGAGTCATCTAAAATTACCCAATTGCAGTCCCTTTCATGTCTTTAGATAAAGAAAAATAATATAACTAAATACCTGTTTTTTCGTATTTCACTAAAATCTGATTTTCCATTGAGGAAAATGATTATAGTATTTTCAACTATATCTATAGAAACACAAAGATGATTCCACTTCCGTTCCAATGATGAGAAGTTCTTAAATTCAATGGGGTTATTATTCGTTATATAAATGATATAATAAAGTTTATCTATTTATCTATATTTTGCTTGTCTGTTTGTTTGTGTCCAATACATGTCAAAACGGCTGAACCGATAGGGCCCAAATATTTTGGGGGAACCTCCCGTGACCCCGGGAGAGGGTTATGGATAACCCAAATCAAGAATATTGGCCGCCATCAAAATTTGAGTCACACAACACTTTTTTGTTTTTGTTTTACAATGTATTCAAAGAGAAAATGTTCACAATATAAATAGAAGATGGGCGCGAAGCGCCTTTAAAGTCTAGTATAATATTAAGGAAGTCGTGGAAAATGTTTAAATCTGATCAAAATTCTAAAAGCATTCATAATAAAATATTTTACAAATATACTTAAAATACTTAAAGATGTAATAAAATATAAATGAAATAAAATATGAAATAACAATGAAAAACTTTGCTCGCATATTATTGTGCGTAACTAGCTGCCAAAATTAAGATATTCAATAAAACACAATTACAATACATAAGAATGGGCGTACAATAATTTTTTTAATTTATATGAAACCATTGCTAAAAGCTTTTATAAAATTTTGTAATACGCTCATGGTGATTATAGCAGAGAATAGAATAAATAAACCATTGCTCCCTGACCCTTATACACCAATCTCCAATTTCATAACAATTGACCCTTCCAGTATCAGACTTATCTAAGAAATCAATTAAATTTAAGTAATTTAAGGCCATACACTGTAAATATTGAAAGGTAATAATAATAATAATATAAAATTCTAAAATTTTGAATACCAAGAACTTGATACTACAAATCTGAAAGTTTTTAAAAGTTTCAGTGCAAATGGGAATGTCCACATTTCCAATCCAAAGCCAAACCTTCAATTTTAAAGCTATTTTCTTGAGATTTTGCATAAAGGTCAGATAAATGATTAACTGAAACTCTATATAGGAAAGTATTTTAAAAAGGTATTATTCAAAAGATATCAAATTTTTGGCGCATTTCCATCGTTATGTTTGAAAAATTAAATGTTCTCCAGATTACAATACTAATTGGGCCTGTGTTTTGGTGAGTAATTTCTTTACTGATATAAATGACACAATTGTTGTTATTTTTCTTTCTTTTGTTTCCCAATTTTAATTGACCTTCTTGCGCCAAAATGATTTTCCTAATTTTTTAAAATTATTTTTTGAAGAAAAAACGTTTTGAATATCTAAAATTAATAAAGTAAATAAAAATTGCATTGGTGAATTCATCAACAAAAATAATTGAAAAAAATCCGGAATTTTTTTTTTTTAATCAATTTTATTTTTAAGTCCAGAAAGTTAATTTAAGTACATTTGTGATGTGGTTGGACAGGCAAACTGTGATAATAAAGGTAGGGAACCAAATACAATTTTCAAGGGGAAATGGCGGGAAACAAATGTATGAAATGAAGAAAAAAGTGTATTAAAAAATCAGTTAAGAAATTACCCATCAAAACACAGACATCAATCTTAAGAAAATAGCTTTAAGATTGAAGGCGTGATTCCCTATTGCAAATTTTTGGCTTTTGATGGAAAATTGTGAACTTTCTCTCTCAGTAAAATAGACAAATATCATATGATGACTTAAACTTACACATCAGCACAATAAAGGGAGGAATTGTTTCTCCAAGCCTGTAGAATTCTATCAGAGGTATCTGCTGATTAAATCGATTAAACTCAACATAGGTCCATAAACAGAAACTCAACTAAAAGCAAACACAAAAAATAGTTTTGATTTTTTCAACTAGGTTAAAATCATTCAAGAAAAACAACTTTTTAGCTTGCAATGCTTGTTCTTTAGACATCTTAATTTTATTAACGGAGTTAACCTCAGATATTTTAAAAATTGTCAAGGGTGCCATTAACAAACCGTTAATCAATATTTCAAATAAAAATAGCTGAACAAATCTGAAGATAACATTAAAAAACATTAAAACATCTAAAAAAACATCAAAATACATGAAAAATTGTTCTTATTTTCTGGAAGTTGCATGCAAGTTTAAAGGGTCTTATAAGGTAAAATGAAAGGGGGTATATTTTAAAGCTTCAAAATTCTAGGCGTTGCATTGATTGGGACCAATGATATTTCTGATGTCTCTGGCTCGAGAAATTAAATAAAACCATGTCCCAGTAATACAAAAACTCTTGCACCATTGATCTGGTCGATAGAGCCACATGACCAGATATACTCTGGTCACATGATACAGACGAAACAAGATTATATTCTATTTTATCTATTGAAAATTTATAAGTACTATATTTAAATTATAATAGAAGTGTGCCTAACATTTCTAGGCATCTCTGGGCTATCGTAATTTTCAGATTCAGAAAGAGACAGCAGAAAGAAACTATGGTTGGTCGCGAACCACGTCTCAAATTTGTAGGCTTTAGCCTACACCCTTTTTCCTTTAACCTTAACAGTCCCGTTCAGTAGTAAGAAGTCGTCTTTTCTTAGAAACACATCCGTTTGTTCTTTTTTTATAAACTGTTAATTATTTTTTCAAGAACGTCTATTTCCCTTGGTTATCCCTATCCTGATTGGTCTATTTTTGTCAAATATAGATGGGGGGGGGGGGGGGGTGGGTTCCACCCCTCCTTATGATTTTGCCCTTAGATCTAGTTGAGATAGGGGAGTGGAATGATGCCTTACTTTTCTTTGTGAGCTCAGTAAAAAATAGTAAACCTCTAACTTTAATGATTTTTGTGGTATAGGCAGTTGTGACACATCTTATTGCATCCATTTTTCAAGGACTTTTTAAATAAATAAGCTTTAGATCTGTAGCTTTTTTAACAAAAAGGTTTTTACTATTTTTTATTTTGTTATTCGACCATACTCCATGGCTGCCCTTCCTTAAGCATTAGAAAATTATAAAATTTGTTTACTACACTAGTAAGTTATAAAAGTGAAGAGGTGTGAGTGTTCTAGTCAGAGATAAGAGAGTTACAGATATCGATTAACACCTATAATATGCGATATTTTCCAGAGATAAGAGAGTTACAGAGATCGATTAACACCTATAATATGCGATATTTTCCACAGTATGTTCTATTGTGTACAAGTACTGTACACAACCAATTAGGAGACATCTGTATTCAGGGATATTTAAGGATCCTGATAGGGTTAACAAGTTCAAAAATAACGGTCTTTGCTGTTCGTTAACATTGTATCTTCTTTAAAAGAATAAAAATATGTTAAAGGGCTATCAATGTAAATAATTCTTTGTGCAACCCTTGACATATTTATAATCTGATTAATGTAATTCATACTTGATTGATTAAAGTATTTTTTAATTTTTAACCTGGTCTGGAACCGGTATATCAAGAGTTTTGGTAGCATACCCATTCTCTGGTCCAAATATATCTTCAAGCTGGGCAAATATTAAACAATTTAGACTAGAGAGCAGATTAATTGGAAAATTATTAGGAAGATAAACTTCTATGACAAGAATATTTATTACTTAGCTATGAATTTCTTTACAGAAAGGGTCTGAAAGCGTAATTTCAAGTGACCCTCCTTGCAAAGCTGGCTATGACTGATTTACAACTGTACCCGGTGAGACCATCTGATCAAAATTGTAGAAGAAACCTTCTTTTTCTGACTCGAAATGGGTTTAATTCTGTGAGTTTCAACATTGCTTCTTAGAAACAAGGAGTTTGCAAGTTAAACTTTTGCATATGAAACCGTGTGGTAAAGGCCTACTCCATAACAAGTTCTTGAAACATATCTATTGAGGTACAACCTGTCCGCTAGCAAAGTCAACCAGGACAAGACCACATGGCTAAATTTCTGTGAAATATCACCGCCACTACCACTGGGCGCGATCGTGTTAGCTGTTAGCTCTAAATTTCACACAGGGAGACAAGCATAGCTATTAAACAAGCTATTAATCGAGGCTCTAAATGCCACACATGGACATAAGCCTAGCTATTAAACAAGCTATTAACACAGCTCTAAATTTTACACAGGGAGACAAGCATAGCTATCAAACAAGCTATTAATCGAGGCTCTAAATGCCACACATGGACATAAGCCTAGTTATCAAACAAGCTATTAATTGAGGCTCTAAATGCCACACATGGACACAAGCCTAGCTATCAAACAAGCTATTAATCTATGCTCTAAATGCCACACAGGGACACAAGCCTAGCTGTCAAACAAGCTATTAATATATGCTCTAAATGCCACACAGGGACACAAGCCTAGCTATTAAACAAGATATTAACTATCGATCCCACCCAATTAAAGTGGATGATCTTCAACCTGTTTGTTAGAACAGGGAATGATTACTCTCTCACAGTTAACAGTACAGAGTTTCTATATTAACTAACTTTATTTAGATATCTTATGTTGCTTGTTAACATTAATTGACGTAATTACAATTCCTGCGTTGTTATCTATATCAATCGATTGAGAGAATCATGTTAAGTACTTACCACACAGCAGTTTAATATATATATTTATAAAATTAACAAGGATAGAAATAACGTAGTTAAGCTATCTCCACCCATGTTTACAACGTAGTTTAAGTTGAAAAAACATATTTAAAAGATTA